TTTTTTTTTTTTTTTTTAATATATTCTATTGCTTTTTCACAGACAAGAAGGGAGAGAGACAGAGAGTCAGAAACATTGATGAGAGGGAAACATCAATCAGCCGCCTTCCGCACATCTCCCACTGGGGAAGTGCCCGCAACCAAGGCACATACCCTCGACCAGAATCGAACCCAGGACCCTTCAGTCCACATGCCAACGCTCCATCCACTGAGCCAAACCGGTTTCGGCATGGCCTCAGTCTTCATTCTGCCATTTAATTGCTCAGCGACCTGGGGCAATCCCCGTCCCTCCTTGGGTCTCAGCCCATCCCAGGATTTCCCCAGACACTTACAGTGTTGGACCTCCACAAGAGTGACGAGGCCATCTTCTCGTCCAGCTTGCCTTCAGAGATCGGGAAACCCATCGTCTGTTAAAACACCAGGTTAGCAGTCGTGACTCATTTGGGAACTAATGGGAAGAACCAAAATGACCAAACAACCAAACCAATGCAGGCTGGGAGACAGCTTGTCATGTCTTGACGGGCAAGGACTCTGATGAACTGGGCAAAACCAATGAATGAAAGGGACTTATATCCAGAAACTCAAGGAGAGTGAAGAAGATGAAGTAAATGTTCAAAGAAGCCAATTCAGGCCTCTGCAATGTAATGCAAGCTAGTGTTGAAGGACAGAGCCCTGTGGGACGACACAGACCTCAAGAAGGCACTGTTTGTTCCAGCCAAAGCCTGTCTCTGCCCTTAGATCTGTACATCTACCACCCAAACTGTTGCTCAAGGACCTGGGAGCCGTCCCTTTGAAACACAGACATGCAGGGGATAACTCTGCTCTCTCTCTGGTCCCTAACTTCAGTGGGCACCTCGCTGCAACTGATACCCCTGCCTGCTGACTTACACACAGGAGAGGTGTGCTTCTCCTCCAGAGAAGTGCCACTTCACAAATCCAGGAGGCCTGGTCTCATGGCCACCTTCCCAACCCCCCTGCATGGCAGCCTTTACAGGGCTCCAGCCTTGTCCTTCAGGGTTTGAGTGGAGTTCACACTGGATCTTACCCCTGCTGCAGTAATATAACTGAATGAAACCTGTTCCTACCCCTTCCACTAGTATCCGGCTTTATCTCTGACAGAAGGGAAAGCTCTTCCTAACATTTAGAAGTAAATTTTACCACAAGAGGAAGGAAGTTCCTCTGACTCTAATTAGATGACGAAGAGCATGCCTGGGGATTTATGGAGAAACTAGAAAGCATTGAGCCCAGGGGGAGAGGCTGCAGAGCCCCAGGCCTTACTCCTGATCTCCCCTCCTTCCCAGGGCTCTATTTCTCCATATGCACAATAATTCTCTCTACCGGCACCGACTTTCGAAGGTTCTTAGACTGGAGGTAATCAGAGTTTGGAGAGGGGGCGCCCATGGCTTCACCACCTAGCTGGCAGTTCGGCCATCCCAGGGAAGGTTTCCATGGAAATGTCAACTCGTGAAGAGGGAACAGCTACCCTGGACCCCGAGGCATCGGAGGTGGGGGCTGGGGGGAGGAAGAGATCCTGAGACCAGAGATGGGAGGCTGGTAGGATGGGCGCAAAGGCGGGTCTCAAAGGCCCACACAGGCTCACCATTGGAAGAATCCATCCAAACTCTTGCTGGTTGATTCCGACGATGTACGGAACAGTGTTGAGCTGCTTTTCAGCCAGAAGCTCCTCCGGCATCTTCGGCAGCAGCACTCCATCAACCACAGAGGACAGGAAGGGCTGGCTCTGGGAAGAGGACATAACAGTGTCCATGCTGCCCTCCCCGCTCACACCCACGTCCTTCTCTCAGCTCGTCTGAGCAAAGCCAGCACCACACACCTGTGTGCCTATGGGCAGTGGCACAGAGCTCAGGGTCTAACAAAGCAGCTAAGTCTCTGACTCCAGAGGGCAGAACTGGTGCCCAAGGGATTAGCAGTGGGCAGGTCATGGGGGGGATCTCCCTCAAATTGAAATATGTAAAAATATGATGTTAATATTTGTGTTTTATATAAAACTTTCAGCTTGAAGTGTATGTCTATCTATATGTATCTCTCTCATGACAGTCAATTCTCATTATTCACGGTGGTTACGCTCTGTAAAGTCACTGTGGACTCCGAATTAGTGAACCCGGAGCCATGGCTCCCAAATCCCATTGTGTACACTCAAACCACCAGCAAACTCCATCCCCAGTTCCCAGTTTCTTTTTCTCCGAAACACTAGCCATCATCAAACACACACCATATTTTATGTGTTTACTGTACTCTCTCTCACTCCTAGAGGGCCGGGAATTGTGTCTGCTTTTTTTGCCCATGTCACTGGTCTATCCCTCCCCTCATTCACCCACCCACTCCCACTCCCCGCTTAAAACTCAGGCCCTGGCACAAAGTACTCAGTGCTAATAAAATCTTTGTTGAATGACTGAATGCATTTCTTTCAATCCTGAAGACACTTTTCAGGGTAAGTGCTACTGTCCCCAGAGAGAAAGCAGAGGGGGTAGGACTGGCAGACGTTGTAGAGGTAAAGGCATGGGAACCTGGTGGCCCTCTGGAAGGTGGGAGGAGAGGAGGAAGGAGAGGGGAGGACACTGTTGGAGTTTCCTGAGTGGCTGGGAGGAGTGTCCTCAGGACTGAGGCTCCTGGCTCCCTTCCTGGTGACCCTGCACATAGTGGCTAATCAGCCCTGCAGCCTTGCAGGAGATCTGGGCTCCTCTGTGTAGGATCCTGAGACCCCTGATGCAGTTACCTCCCTCTCCCCGAGGTGGGAGTTTCTAGTACAGCCTTCTCCCCCTGGGAGCAGGAAATAAAAACAAGAAAAAATGTAGAGCCCAGTCAGTCAGCCTGGCTCAGTGGTTGATTGTCAACCTATGAACCAGGAGGTCACAGTTCAATTCCCAATCAGGGCACATGCCCGAGTTACAGGCTCAGTCCCCAGAGTGGGGTGTACAGGAGGCTGCCAATCAATGATTCTCTCTCATCACTGATGCTTCTATCTCTCTCTCCCTCACCCTTCCTCTCTGAAATCAATAAAAACATACATCTTTTTAAAAAACTACTACAGAAAGAAAGAAAGGAAGGAAGGAAGGAAGGAAGGAAGGAAGGAAGGAAGGAAGAAGGAAGGAGCTGGTCTTAGTCAGCTGCCACCAAAGGTATCAGGTTCTCCCTCCAGGTGCCGCCCTGACTGGTCAGAGGAAGTGGGCAGGGCACTGGCTCCCCTGGGCATGAGCTCAGGGTCTAGCTGTGGGTAGGGGAGGGGAACTCTGGTGAGGATTTCTGTTGCATGTGCCTGCACTGCCCTCCATCCATTTCCTCTTCTTGTTCCCCAGGCAACAACACCCCGGTTTTTCAAGGAGGCCTCCCTCATTCTCATTCCATGAGTCCAGACATCTTTAGAAGACCTGGGTGCTCCATCTTCCTGACCACAGAGATTAGCTCATGGATTGGCATGGGGCCCATGTCAGGACAATAGACATTACCCCAAACTCTTGCTAGAATTATTGGGAAAGGGGGTTTCTAAGCAGATCAGATATATGTCTAGACTAGAGTGTTGCCGTTGCCTTGAACCACCCCAGGGGACCAACCTGCCTGAGAGTAAACAAACGTTAAGAGGCAAAAGTTGAGGGGTACAGACAGATTCTAAATAATAGATGTGTGTCTGGGTCCAGCCATGCCTGAAGCCATCTACTCCTGAACTTTTCAGTCACCTAAAGGTTGTGTGACAACACATTCCTTTTTCTGCTAAAGACACTTTGCAAAGAGTTTTCCCATCTTGCATCGGAAAGTTCTCACTCATGTAACCTCACTAAAATTCAACTCACCCCTTTCTTCTCTCTGTATATGCTCAACACTATTGTGCTTGTTGTCACCCTACATGGTAGATAACAGGTCTGACTACTAGTAGAAACTAACCAGTAGGGTCCCTTCATTATGGGGTTGTAATTCTACAGACCAGGTGTTTATGGGGTGTGTGTGTGTGTGTGTGTGTGTGTGTGTGTTGCGAGAGTGGATAAACATGGAAAGACTTCCGGCTTTTCTCAGAATCACTGATTTTATAAGATGTCTTGAGAAGCTGGGAACTGAATCATGTCTAGATTTATGACTATAGAGTTGTAGAAAATGTACAGGCAGAGTATCCTTAAGATGCAGCACCCTCTGGATGCAGTGGTCTGAGAGTTTAGAGATTATGCTTTGGTGAGTTGTAGCAGTTACCATCTAAAAACACTATTGAGAAAAACAGAAGATGGCGGCATAGGTAAATACCGGAGTTAGCTGCCTCCAACAACCACTTCAAAATACAACTAAAAGACAGAACAGACATCACCCAGAACCACAGGAAAGCTGGCTGAGGGGAAATTCTTCAACTAGAAGGGAAGAGAACAGCATACGAGACTCAGAGGAGGCGCAGTGTTGAAAATACAACAGTGCGGAAAATAGAAAGGTGCGGAGGTGCGCGCAGAGCGGGCTGGTAGCTGAGGGTGTGGTTGTCGTTTTCAATAGGGAGGGAGTCTCAGATTCTGAGCTCCAGTTCTGGGCGAGTCTCTAGGGATCCAGACTCAAACGGGAGAAGCAGGACTGTCTGGCATCGGTCGGAACGCGAGGGCAGCTTTCTCTCCGAGGTTTGCAGCGGTTGCTGGGACTCTGAGAGGCAGAGCCTCTGGGAACCGGACTGAGAGCAGCCATAACTGCTCGCTCTGTCCTCCCTGTTGATCCTCTGGGACCCGCCTGCCCCAGCCCTGCACAGAGGC